ACGCCCTTCCTTGAAAGCAAGTAATAAAAGCAAGTTTGTGTGTGGGGGAGTGCCAACAAACTGCCTTCAGGAATATTTTGCAATTGATAGCGAATATCACAAAGATGTATCACTATGACCAAGGTCGGAATTCGCGAGTAAAATGTGACGCTAGTCATAGTGGTTTGGGTGCTGCGTTAGAACAGGAGATAGAAAATGATGTTTGGGTTCCTATTGCATTTGCGTCACGTTTTCTCAATGATCAGGAAAAGAAGTATAGCACTAATGAGCTGGAGCTTCTAGCAATTGTGTGGTCATGTGAGCACTTTCGTAATTATTTGTTGGGAAATCATTTTGTGGTTCTAACGGACCATAAAGCGATTGTTTTGGCGTTAAGAACCAATAGAGGCAATAAGACTCATCAATCTCGATTAACCAGATGGGCTGACAGATTATTGCCATTTGATTTCGATGTTTTCCACATTTCCGGATGTAAATTGGGCATAGTGGATTATTTATCTTGTTTTCCAACGTTTGAAGCGCCACGACCAAGCAGTTTTGATGAACAATATGTGGTCAAATGTATTAGTCGATTCTTTGATGCGTGCGATTATCTGGATGAATGGGCTAGGGATTGTTCCTTATCAGAGGTATCATCTGTTATTCCGAAACACAGTCAAAATTACGTTTTATCTAATTCGATAAATCTAATTGAGTCATTGGATTTTGGTCAGCCTCGGGCCAATTGTCCCGTTCGGGGTAATACATTAATTTCATCTAATGATTTTGGAAGCTTGTCGGTAGAGGGCGTCACAATTCATGATGTTCCAGCTAGTTCGAATTGCATAAAATCGGTAGAGGGCGACGGAAACTTTGCCAGTGGCTATACCGATTTATTACAACAATTCAATGCGTTTGTCACTTCTCCGCTAGAGGGCGTTAATATTGCTGGTTTAAAATCTAGCCAATCAGCATTGAGCTGGATCATGCAAGTTTTTGTCACTTTCTCAGCATGGATTACAAATTATCTGCCGATTTTGATTTCAGTGTGGATTATCAGTACAGTCGTTAATAATTGCGTGTTATTATCATCGTTCGCGGGCCTTTTTGACCTTGTTTCAGCTTATTGGTATTGTTGTGGTGTACTCGTATTATTGGGCGCTTTTCATTTTCAGACTGAGATGGACCCTAACGCAAATAATGCCAACGACAGCTTTGAGCAGCTACTCAACCAGTATCTCCCGATCAACCAACATTAGTTTTCGTCGGATCGTGCCCGGCCGCGGTTTCGCGCGGGGGCAGTACGCCCAAGGAGGTCGACAACCTTACAACGTGGTGCGGAGTTGAGGGGTCAATATGCCCGAATATTGGCCAACTTCAGATCAAAAAGGCTCAGGAAAACCAAATTACCCAATCGTCAAACTCAGTCAGTTCAAAGTCTACAAATTTTGAAGTCATCAGTGGTCGCTCAGGACCAGAAATCGTTAACCGGGTTGGTGGGCATTCTGGATTCCGATGTACTATCGGAACTTACGGATGAAGATCCCAGCCTATGCTTGATGAAACGGGCACTTATTAACCGGGACTATGAAGGATTTTGTCGTATTGACCCATATATAAAATCCTTTTGGCATTGTGCAGCGGTGGTTGATGGCTGTGTTATCGTGGACAATAGGATCGCTATTCCCATGTGTCTAAGAAAACCGTTACTGTCTCGACTACATAGGTCGCATGCGGGTCAGTTAGCCATGGTTGATGCTGCGCAAAACATATGGTGGCCTCGAATACATCGAGATATTGTCCAGCTATGTAAAGATTGTCCCCAGTGCACGAAGTTTGGTAAGAATTTGAAAGCGAACGCTTCGTTTAACTCTATCAAGCCTTTACCCCTTTGTCTGGTCCTAATGAAGAGCTTCAGCTCGATTATGCGGGTCCTCTACTCGATTCATATGGTAACAGTATTTATATCTTGGTCGCCATTGACCGTTACTCTAAATATCCGTCAGCTATGATTACACGTTCTACAGGGGGACGGAAGATTATTAAATTTCTTAAATCGTATTTTCAACAGCATAGTTTTCCCAAATCTATCAAAACTGACCAATATTCAGGTTTTAAGAACAAATTAGTGCAGGCCTTTTGTAAAGATAAAAATATTGCCCAATATTTCTGCCCGGTGGGGTATCATCGTGGTTGTGGTCTGGTGGAACAGTCGAGTCGATCCAAACTATTAAACGTCGTTTGGGCGCCTCGCATTTGAGTTCGGATTTTTCAAATATTCAAGATACACTTAGAAATATTATTGAAGATATTCGGATTGCAAAAAATTCTGTTACTGGGGTTTCACCGTTTGAGCTTCATTTTGGCCGTCCTCCGAATACGGAGCTATCTATTGCGGCTGAGCGTTTCTCTACGGGCGTTAATTTAGATAACCAACAATTGGAACGGGATCTACTAACACCTGAACAGCGTCGGTAGCAGTGCGACAGCCGACCAAGGATAAAACTAGTCAAGAAGGGGCAGTCAAGCCCGACGATGTCACCCTACTTTGGGGGACCTACGGAGTCAGTTTCGGATACACCCTACTATCGCGCGCTTGAGAGTCTGGCTCAATATGCTGATCAGTGGCTGACGTTGAAGAAGTCCTTGTCTCATCAGGAGGGGGTCAAAGCTCTGAAGACGCTGACTGAACGAAACCAAGTTCTCGCTGCCACCCTTCGCTCCAACTTGTCTGCTGGAACACTTAGATTTAGGAACCAGATGACAACGGATCAAATTCTTCCGTCAATTCCAAAACATAATTTGGATTACTTAGTGTTGAATGAACCAAATGAAGTCGAAATATTTAGGAAATTTCTAAATAGTAAGTCTGGTCGAGAACTTTTCAAACCTTTTAAGGGCAAAATTGTGCAGATTACTGGGTCCACATATATTTCTGACAAGGGAAAAGTGATTCGAAGAAATCACTTGGCGGTACGTCTTAAATCAACCGATCTAAGTTTTTCAGGCAAACAAACAACGCCTGTCAAGAAGGGGCAAAAACGCCCCATTGTGTCATCTTTGCCATCGTCGTCAGAGGACAATCGGCCTCTCAAACAATCAAGCTCACGCCAACGAATCACGGCCAAAACTGTGGCCGTACATGCTCACCCGAAATTCCCGTCTCTACCATCTTCATCTACACCATCTCGTGGCCAAACTGTCTCGACCAACTTAAAGCAAACTTTAGTATCGGAGGCTCCAAGAGTTCAGGCTATTCCTTATCCCCAACAATCTACTCCAGTAGTAGACTTAACGGCTTCTTCATCCGCTTCTGGAAATCAAGGAACGGAGGTTCTCATCAGTGTCAAGCCGAAATCACCAACTACAGTCAAAACTCCATTATGTCCAGATCTCATTCATTCCTATTTCTTCGGACGATGAGTCTTTGGTCCCGAAGCTCCAAGAGTGCACATCGTCAAGTTTGGCAGCATCGGGTCTCCCCACCCGGGATGGTTCTAGCGTAATTTTCGAACCGGACGGAAATATTTCGTCATCATCACATTCTTCTCGTACATCTTCGCGCCGGAAAAAGCAGACAACCTTTTACGGTAGTCCCATCAGACTTTCCGTGAATGTCATTCAAGCTCAATCGACGTCTACCTCCCCGTCAACTCCTGTTTCGTCGGACAAGAAAGTTCGTTTTGTCGTAGCTAATCCAGAGCTAGTGGTTCAAGCGGGGCAGTCTCGGGTTGTTCTTCCCGATGAATCCGAAGATTTATGTAGAAAATCCACGCGCTTTTTTTCCAAAAAAGAGCTCTTCTGGCCATCCATTGCGTCGTTCAGACAAATAAAACTCTACGCTCATTCAAACTCGTTAATTTTTCAAAACATTTTCGTATATTTCCTCAAGTTACATCAGTCAATTTTGTAAACTTCTATTAGTGTTTCATAGGTTACAAGAAGTTTTGTTAAACGGCTGTGAGGGCATATTTAGTCAATTTTAATTTAAAGAAATCCAAATGTTCATTTGAATTTTTCCCTAGAGGGGGAAATGTGGTGTGGCGTAGTTTAACAGTATTGTTATGACGTCATTATTGTATTACTTCTGTGCTAGTTATTCGTGCTAAACTCGCCTATTGGTTATCAAGGTCGCTGTTAACCCTTTCTCTATTTATCATCAAGTGCTCTCACTCACTCTGTCTCAATTTATGAAAGATTTAAGTTGACCTTTAGAATTCTGTCATGACATTATCTATATAACTTGCATTATCTATATTATTTACATTCTTGTTTATTATTAAACAAGGAGAATTGAGTCTTGTTTAACTAGTATTCTTCAAGAAATCACACTTGCAATGCCAGGAGATTGAGTATACGATACGAATATTTCAAGATGAACGCTTTACCGCTATTGCTCAAATTGTGATCAGAACGTAACCAGAGCAGCCTGTTTTGTCCAGGTAGTTCAGAAAATTCGAAAAAAATAATGGTGTATTTTTGGCTTATGGACTCCAAAATTTTTCTTCAGGCGCCGCCTTCGGCGCCAATATATACTAATTTTGAGGGGGGAGCGCGCGCCAAAAAAACGCAATTTTTTTGGTCAAAAGTTTCCAGAAAGTGCCTAAAAATGCTTTTTTCCTGTTTTTTCAAAATCACTTACAAATGTCGACAATTTTTGATAATTTTTTGAAAATCCACCGCCCCTCGAGAAAATCCTAGATCAACCCCCTATCCGAGAGACAAAACTCTCTCTCACTTTCAGTGGTCGGAGCGAGCTATTGTTCAATTTTTCGTTGCCCTTAACTTCCTTAACGTTTTTTTTTAAATCAGTATTCTGACCCAAAAGCATTCGCAATGTTAAGGAAGTTTTATCGGTCAGCCAAACTTGCGCAATATTGCATGACTTTTGGGAAGAAAACTGAAGACAAAATTGTTAAAATGTTTGTTTTCAATATATAAAATCATATATTGTTCTGCGATATTGTCTTGTTTTCAATTGAAAAAATTGATTTTCTGTCTCAAAGAGAAACAGCTTTGTATATAAGGACGGTGTTTGTGTGTGTTGGCTGAGACTGCGCTTTCACGCGTGATATTTGACTGAACCTGCTTTGTATCTTGAAAGCACCTCTCGTACCAGTGGAACAGATTTTCTTTTGACGAGCTCAGGTGGAGGCAACTTTTGTTTCCACAATTTGATCCTAATTTATGTTCACAAAAGCTTCATTTTTTCCTCTTTTCTTATTTTTCTAATTTCTGCCTGCATTCATATTACTTCTATTCTTTCTCCATCAATTCTTTCTTAGTTCTTTATTCGGGATTCTTTTGAATTGTTGAATTGATGAATTGATGTTGTTGAATTGAATTGATCTTTGATTCACTACGAGAATAATAGTCCTAGTCAGTTTGTCATCACCATCATAGCCCCTGCCTGCTCTACATTGTTACTGCTACCGTTGCTATTCCGTCTCAATCTCGTTTTATTTTAGAAAAACAAAAAACTATATATTCTTCGAACAAAAACGAACCAAAACAATCACCTGAAAAGATTGCTACTTATGAAAAGATCAGATTGTGCCAAAATTCAAAAAACTATAGAAAAAAACTACTGTGATCAGAGCTCTATAGAAATAAGACATAATTATAATCTCGAAATTTGAACAATCGTTTTGTGCGCAAAATGCAATTGATGTTGATGATGATTATGATGCGTATTCATCGTTTTTGAATGGCGCAAAAAGCATTCACTGAATTATGTCTTTGTTCGTTACTGCGTCTCAACGTGAATGGGATATTGTCACTGTGGCAACCCCTCCCCCCACTCTTTTGCCCCTTCATCTAACCCCCCTCTCCGAATCAATTCAGACGAACAATGCGACTCAAAGACCCCCTTTGTTGTCATTTGTTCCACATTCAGAGATCGAACTCGAATAGTTGCCAATTGATCTCCTTCTCCTTTTCCGATCCATTCCCTCATCCTTCATTCATTATTTGCATTCTTAGCATTCTCTCTCCATTTTGTACTAACCCAAAGGTTAATAACAATCTCCAAAATATTAAAAACTGAAAATCCCAATTAGGGCACGAACGAAAAAGGGTATGCTTATCTCGCATGGTTGCCGAGACTAAAACTTGATGCTATTTTTTTTTAGTTATCGACTCTTCGTTTTAACAGCCACAATCAATCAGTATTTTTCCCCAATTACTGGCCATTTTATCATTTTATTCGGCTAACAGGAAACTTAAAAAGTTAGAATTCTTACAAACGTCCTTTTTGGAAATGGAAAGCGCAGCAGGTCAGTTTTACAATTTGTTTCGTAATTGTAATAAATGCCTAAAAACTCCCTCCCAGAGCAAAAATCTGATTGTTCTGAATAAACGCTGAACAGTTATATTATTATTTCTCATAACGATTTGTATTTTGATTTGAGACCAAATTTTTTATTTTAGTTGGAGATAATCTAGTTATATGAATGCAACATTTCCGATTTTAAATTCTACTGAGAAAATGGAACTTTTTTTGTAAGGATTTTCGAAGAACATGACCGAATATTCATGTCTGGGTTTTTTATACAGCCAATATTGAGTTTTTTTGTTAATATTTGACATAATTCGTAAATAATGTCTGAAAAGTATCTACATGCCCTGAAATCAAAAATCGAAAAGTATTTAACCTATTACTTCTTTCCAAATTGATGATAAAAAATTTTAAAAAATTTTTTTAAAAAAAATTTAAAAATTGTCAATTTGTCTAGTTGAAGATAATCAACCAGCGATATTTTTAGCAGGAAGCGGAAAAGTCGCTTATTTTTTTAAATTTTTTTTTCATTTTTTTGCTCTTAATTCAATAAAAAAATTTGCGTTAATTTGTCCGAAAAACTGCAAAACATTTTAAAAAGAACCTTAAACTGAAGTTTAAGATAAAAAATTCGGCCAAATTCGTTTATGCGCGGATAAAGTAAAGTTGAAACCTTCTTTCAGTATTTTGAAGCAAAATCTGCGTGATTTTCTGAAAATACAGACAGAAAACATGCATATGTGTTGGTTTATGCGTTTATAGAACAAAACTTGAAAGTTTTCATTTCACTTTTTGCCGCCAAAAAAAATAAATTTTTGATTCACAGAAAATTGTATTCGTTAAATAAAAACAAGATAAAAAGTTTTCAGTATCTAACAGCTCGTCTTTTTGGTTCAAATATTTTTAAAACAAAAGCGACAGAAATTTTTTGCTCAGTGTTTTTTTCACCAGACATTTTTTGGCTTTCTACATACGGTTTTGAATACAATTTTCGAGGCGTGTTGTTCTGGAACAGCTTTGACAGATTGATGCCTTGATGTCAAAGTTCAAAAAGCGATTTAGATGCGTCAATTTTTCATAACGTTTTGTGGCTTAAAATGCCAATTTGGTCAATTGGTAAAATTAAATTTGACAAAATCGCTGTTTATGCGTAATGTCATTGACGAATCACTTTGCCTGAAAAATTAACTAAATTGAAAAATGGATAGCTAATTGATCCACGGATTGCGTTAATATATGCAGACAAAATTCATAGCTTTTATTCAACATTTTTTTTTTTGAAAAACTTACCATTGATATACCAAAACCTATCCTAAACGCATTAACCGTTGATATACCAAACCTATCCTAAACGCATTAACCGTTGATATACCAAACCTATCCTAAACGCATTAACCGTTGATATACCAAACCTATCCTAAACGCATTAACCGTTGATATACCAAACCTATCCTAAACGCATTAACCGTTGATATACCAAACCTATCCTAAACGCATTAACCGTTGATATACCAAACCTATCCTAAACGCATTAACCGTTGATATACCAAACCTATCCTAAACGCATTAACCGTTGATATACCAAACCTATCCTAAACGCATTAACCGTTGATATACCAAACCTATCCTAAACGCATTAACCGTTGATATACCAAACCTATCCTAAACGCATTAACCGTTGATATACCAAACCTATCCTAAACGCATTAACCGTTGATATACCAAACCTATCCTAAACGCATTAACCGTTGATATACCAAACCTATCCTAAACGCATTAACCGTTGATATACCAAACCTATCCTAAACGCATTAACCGTTGATATACCAAACCTATCCTAAACGCATTAACCGTTGATATACCAAACCTATCCTAAACGCATTAACCGTTGATATACCAAACCTATCCTAAACGCATTAACCGTTGATATACCAAACCTATCCTAAACGCATTAACCGTTGATATACCAAACCTATCCTAAACGCATTAACCGTTGATATACCAAACCTATCCTAAACGCATTAACCGTTGATATACCAAACCTATCCTAAACGCATTAACCGTTGATATACCAAACCTATCCTAAACGCATTAACCGTTGATATACCAAACCTATCCTAAACGCATTAACCGTTGATATACCAAACCTATCCTAAACGATAGCCAGCAATTACGACAAAAACACTCAAGGTTTTCAGAGGCATGAGTTTTTTTTCGTCAAATAAGATTTTAAAAAATGTTTGGGAGATAATTTCTTAATATTGCCGTTTGCAAATTTTTGTCATTGTTTTGCTCATAGTGAATTCTGTGACATCCTGAGTAGTAAACATAAACTCTGAATAACTAAACTTTGCAAATTTTTCATGCTAATTATTAGAAGACTGATTGATTTTGTCTCCCACTTATACCTAACATCATCCCGTGCTTCAGTAGAAAAAAATGAAAATTTTGAAGAAACTGTTTGCAATTGTTCCTATTACTTGCACAGCATATTGCTTATTACATTTTTGTTTACATGAAAGAATATATCTTACCTTAAAATGTTTAACGAGAAAATCCTAGGCAGTTAAGATACCAATTCAAAAGATACCTTGTTCGAAAATCGCCCTCAACAAAAGATACCATAACAAAACAACAAAGAAAAAATCAAAGAAGTGGAAACAGAGGCAGTGAATCGATCAAAGCAAAACACAAAACGTCGGTTACAATCAGAGAAACGACAAAATTTTTGCTGCAAAAACTTCGAACAAAATAGGCCTTGCTTAAGCCTTGGCTTCAAATTGAATCTCATAGACAAAAAGTTGATCTAGCAAATTCACTTCAAAGACAAAAAGGTAGAATTTTAAAAATATATAATAAGGTGATTGAGTAAATGAATGGAATTTTAACAAAGTGTTAGAGTCGTTGTATGAACTACTTATCTGCTGAAGCTTTTCATTCATTTTACAGTAGTTTTCCAGATAAGATTATCATACCGCTGAAGATTATGTTTTTTTTTATTAACGGAGTCCAGTAAATTTTTCTCACGAAAGGTATAAAATGAAAGATGGCTGCCGTAAAGTAAAATGATAAAACCAAGATATCACTCCTTAGCTGCGTTTTGGGTTCGAGCTAAACAACATACAGCATTTTGATTTTAGTTCCATAGTAAAATACGAAAAACTGTTTTTTGTCCAATTTTATCCCTTTTTCTGTACTTTTCTCTGGAAACCAACCGTTAGCTTGTTTGTTTTTTTTCGAGATTTTTTTTCTGATACACCCAGCTTGGTTGCCAGTCTGCATATTTTGTCAATTAAAAATTGAAATAGGTTTCCACGTTTGATTCCGATACAAAAAACGGCAGGAATCATACTCAGCGCTAAGACTGGCTTGCTGTTTGACTCGGAAGTCTTTATCTGGCGCAGTTTGAACATTTATTGCATATATTTTTTTACAGAGGTGAATGTAATATCCCTTAATGTCACTTTGATGATTAGATGCAAAAGCATTCAACGCTTCAATTTAAGAGTCGACCAAATTTTTTTCCGGGGGTTGCGTCATGGACAAGCAAATTGAGTATCTGTAATATGCTGATTAGCGCTTTTTGCTGAGCACACATCAGATGCAATGTAGATAAAACCCGCAACAATGCATGTGTATAGTGTAGAGCTGGTAAAACTGACTTGGACACAATTCGAAAATACCGTCTACAAACCAGGTTGTGTTGTATGGATTGAGCGGCATTGAAGTGCGCCTCATCAACAAAATCAAAATGCATTCCGTATTTTGTTTTCCGCTATCGAAAACTCAAGTTTGCTTTAAACAATCCGGTGATTCGAAATGACAGCCATCTGTGGCAATGGTGGGCTGAGATGTCGTTAGTTTTTAAACTGTTTGGAATCCGCGTTATCGCCGACCGTGATGGCAATATACTGCACCAGTTCTTATTTAACTGAGATGATATGACTGTTTACCGGATTTAATTGATTCCTGACTCTCTTACTCATTTGCTGAACTAATATTGTCGAGCTTCTGGGCGTTATGCATCGCTAATTTTATGACTATGCTTGTTGAGGTTTGCGATTGAATAGCCCCAAAATGTGATTAAGGTTTTTGGGCCCTGACATGATCTTCATTTGCTGCAGCTATGTGTGCTGTTGTTTTTGCATTGCATTTTTTTGAAATTCATGGAGAAAAATATAGGTTTTTTTGTGAGATTCCTCGAATAAAAGAAGTCGTATTTGACTATCCAATGAGTTATAAAGTCAAACAAATCTCATGAGAAGTGAGATACTGAACGCAGATTGAATACATTTTTATTGGAGCTGTTCTAATTCAATACTATATTAATTCATGTTTAAATTAAACACATGCTATGCTGGCACTATATTAACCTAAAAGTTAACATAATGTCATAATACAAGTCCTATTTAAATTTGGTTATCTCAGAATTGCGGTTTTCATTAATAACGTGAATTTAATTGAGATAACATTTTTCTAGAATCACTTATGGTTACACTTTGATCATGTTTTTTTTTCATAATTCATGGGATCTTTTCAATTGCGATCAACCATTAGAGTTTTAAAACTACAATTCTTGCTCAAAATCCTCAGTCGTTAATTTCAATTCTATGAACTTTTGATTGCGCTGTTGATTTAAAAACTACCTAATTTAACAATTCTGACCCTTCTAAATGCCATCTGTGACTATTGCCGGCCACGATTGATTGACTTGTAAGCTCTCGACCTGTAAAAGTTTGTATCTGGCGCTGATGTTTAATAACCCATGTTGAGGTCCGAGATCTATGTCGCGATTTTGGAACTGGTGCTGCTGTCAAAGCCAAATCCACATTGCATATTCGAGATCAGAATTCAAGTCACTAATGTCTGATCATAGAGTCGCGAAAGTCTGAATATAAAACAAGAATGAAGTATCGATGAATCACAATAAACTATTGACTCATTTCTGAACATCTGAAAGAAATGTGAACACTATCTCAAACAAACTTCGGAATGAAATTTAAATTAAAAAGAAATAATGCAGCAATAAGATTTTGTTTTTGAAACCCGAAAAAAATGCAAACGACTCGATAAACGGGTTTAAGTGTTCAGCAGTATCAGACTCATTTTGTTTTGCTCTTGAGAATTTCAGATTCTGTCAGTTTCAGTGTTATGAAAATTGATTTGTTGCATTAGCTTTCAGTTAGTTCCAAAAATGCTCAAATTTGACGTGTTCTGCAACATAATAATCATGTTTTATAATAAAAAACTTAGATTCATGTTTTCTCATTTAAAATTCAGCAAAAAAAATCTTGAGAAACTTGGAGGAAAATAACGAAGAACCTTTTCTCAAAAACTGAAAGCTGGTTTGAAAGTATTTGATTAAATAATATTTTTGGTGATAAAATACAAGAACGCACCTCTAACTTAACTATTTAATAAGTTTAACTTTTAGATTTTCTCAAATTTGATCCCACTCAATCCCATGCACTGAAGTGATGCGACATCAAAAAAAGTTCAAATTTTTATCTAAACAAGAAAACGTTAAGAGCTTGAGAACACTACACTCATTTTTTTTTTCGGTCGGCTGGAAAACGGAAACTGGAATTTTTCAAATTATGTACAATTATAAAAAGGGCTATTGCCTCATTTACTGGAATCTTCTCAATCTCTCAAATGAAATACAGAATTTCAAATTTTATTTAAGCATCCGGGGTTGAAGTCCCACCGTTATTTATTGCTTTTTCTGTAGTATCTCGTTAATCACTTTTTTCTGGCGCTGATTCAAGTATAGTTCAAAGTTTTTGCAACGCTAAACTTGCGATATATCACTGCTATTTCAGTAATGAACCCGTAGAATCTCCAACTGAAGCTACAACTTCAGAACTTTTTTCGAAAACAATTTATTCTGAACTCATTAAAAATAGTTAAAACCTAGCCAAATTAGCAAAAGCCCATCAAAAATATTTTACTTTTGTGGCTTGGAAACATCAATATTTCATCGATTCAAATAGCAGTTTTTTCAATTTTTCTATCGCTGATTTTCAAAGTAACTCAACCTCGGATTCTTTAACACATCATCATATAGCTGAGAGTGGGATTTAGTCAGCCGAAAAAGAACTTACAAACTATAATAAACTCATATAGCACTCGGTGAATTTTGGTGCTTAAATGATGTGAATTTTTTCAATGAGCATTTTTCTGATTTCTGGAGATGATTTCAAAATAAATCATGAACCTTGCAAACTTAATTCTATTTGCTTAAGAAACAGAAATGAAAGTGCAATAACAAAACTTTTCTATAATTTTATAAAATGTTTCTAAAAATGTTTAGAGGGTGAAACCAATTGGCAGTGATTGAAAACATTTTCGTAGACTGTACCAATTTTGCGAAACAATTATCGACATGTTTTCAAAAAACTTTTTGACTATCAAGATATATATCTATGTTATTTCGACAATTTTGGACACTTCATGCTCTCGAAAATGAAAAAGAACCAGATACTGAATCTCTGGATATTTTTGGTTCAAAAACAACATTAGATTCTGAAATATCAATTATTATTGACGAATTAACTTTTTTTAAACATTAAGCAACATAGCATCATTGTTTTTTACGATTCAAAACGTAGTTTATTTTAAGCGCATGGAAAACAGATTTTTTTTTAAAACAAACTCGGTCTTTTTGTTGCACGAGCGCGAGTGCATGACATCTCTTTAAGGTTAAAATTTTTAAAGCAACTAGTTCATTTAGAAAAGAATAAACTATTTTCACCGTCCAAAGAATGTTTTTTTTTACAAAAACAACAAAAATTACTAACAAAAGAAAAATTCGGTTACTTTTAGGTTATTTAATTCGGCTGACTGTAAATGCATTTTATTCCCACAAGTTTTTTCTCATTATCGATTATGAATTTGTTTATTTTGAGCAAACAATGGGAGAGAACATGCTTGTTGAAGGAAAAATTAGCTTTCATTTAAGCCGTGAAAACTCAGTTTAAAAGTCGGAACCATTGAAAGTGCTTGAATATCTTTTGGATTTCAAAAAAGGTTGTTTTATTCATTTTTAAAATATATGCTTGAATTCGAAGCTTTTCTTCAGATCCTCTCATCACACCACGAAAAAAAAACAATACATGTTTAAAAAACAATTTTTTTTGTAGGTTTTTTGGTTTTCTTTGGATTTTTCTGTGCTCATTGCAACTGGCTATCCCTTTATGACTTATGCAGTTGTCTTATTTATAAATTTACTACTTTGTTCTTATACTAAGTTTTGCTCGTAAGTCTATCCGATTTGATCCTTACGTGTCCCAGCTATCGAATTGATGAGCAAATGATGAATAGTCGGTTCATTATGTAGCAAATGAATGAGAAACCGGCAAAAAAAATGAAACGTTTTTTTATACTAAATTCATCGGCTGTAATGCTATTGAAACTGCATATATACATCAAAAAAACTCATATAAAAACGATATTGAAACTTTTTCAGAATTTTTTTATCAGTTTACAAAACTAGATTATCTTAGGAAAATCAATTTTATTAGCGTGAAAAACTGAATTAATATTAGAATTTCTTATATTGAACATATGTTACTCGATCGCTAATCTCGCTTGAAATTGAATGGAAAGTCGAAAACTTTAAGCCATTGAACTTTTTAAAGTGAAGCTCGAATCACGACTGAAAAGTTCTCAAATTGTTCTATCACTTGACCCATTCCGTTAATTGTTAGTGGTACTTGATTTTGCGCGATAAAAAACAAAACCCCCAACCAAACGCAAAGTTAAGCCCCATTTCCAATGTACATAACAAAAATTATAGAGTCAGAATCATCAATCATGTTGAAAACGTCTTTTGTTGTGGATTTTTTGGGCCAAACAAACCATCGATGGCTTGCTCTAGCAGAACCGAGTTTTGCCTGACAAGCGATTGAAAAACCTGCTAATTTTTTTTTGTTATTCTCGCATTTTTTTTTCGATCGCTTTTTTGTATACGGGAAAGCCCTATGGCTTAAATTGTTTCTCCATGCAACCTCAATCTAAAAATTGATCGCAGCATTGAGTATGGTGTTATTCAAAAGACCATGTAATTGTAACAAGACTGCTCGTATCAGGGCGAAGCCCTGAATGTTCCGACTGCCTTTTAAAGTTTATGGAGCAGTAAAAACATTTAAAAAATAAATATATTAAAACAAATTGAAAAAAAAAATTCCAAAATTTGAAATTTTTAAAGAAAAACATCCCCCCCACACGCCATATAAAGTACAAAAGGATAGATTTCGCTCCTTGTAACAAATCAATTATGGCAAATAAGCTTCTTTCAACCAATTTGGAACGATTTCTAAGACGGACTAGAACTCGCTTACGCGTTAATAGCGCGAAATATATCGCGCGTTAATTGTCCCAAATTGGCCAAAACGGCAATCTCCAAACCCCCGTAACTCTACGAAAAATGATCACAGTTGAAAAATCTTTTCAAATTTAAACTCAGGACAACATTACCTTTCGAATGATATTTAAAAATTCCGTCAAAAATGGCCTGTTAAAAGTCGAAATTTGTCTGAAGAAAAAAAACCTACCCCGAGCACAAATATTCCGTTACTTTCGTATCGAAAGTCGGAACAATAAGTTTTGCGAAAAGATATTTTCAGCTCTTTGAATTAGTATTGAAACTCGAAATGCTCGAAGACAATTTTATATCTGAGTTTGTCAATTTTTATAGTTGTTTTGACTTTCAAAGAAAGCGGAATAACAATGCTTGAGCTTTCTTTTTGTTCAGTCAATTTTCGACTTTTCAGCGAAATTTTTTCGATGGAAAATTTTTGTACCATCTGAAAAATATTGTTAACTTCAGTTATTTTTCGTAAAGTTATGGTGGTTCGAACTTGGCTTAATAGAGCGATTTGGGAGCTAACACTAATAGAGCTAACACGCGAAACACTGCGTTCTTGAAACACGCCAAGCGTCGTATTGAACAGTTCCAAATTGAATTCAGACAAGTCAGTTGATCATGTTTTCAGTATACGATAGACTAAATAAATCCACTTGTAATTAACATTGCGTCGGAAGAGGGATAACAAGAAAGGAAAAAACTATTTTATCAGTTTTTCAACCAAAAACTTTTCAATTAGCCTTAAATTTCTCTCGAAACATTCAGGACTTCGCCCTGATATACGAGCAGTCTTGTTTCTATCTCAAATTGGTCAAATTATAATTCTTTAAAATGAATGTTTATTATTCAATTCTTTATGGAAAAATGATTATCATCGATCAAAAACAAAATTTGAGTTTTCAGGAACTTTTTGCTACGGTGTTTCTTCCATTTCTGCTCATAAGATCAACTTAAAAATATGCATTATTCAAACAATAAACCTTTTATACCAAAATGTGCTACTTATCATATTAACTAAATAATAAAAATGAAAATTGAATTAATGAGACAAATTATATTCACCTATTATAAACGTAAAAAGTGAAATAGTTGATTATTTTTCTACGAAGTTTTATTTTTGATGATTGCACTATTAAAGCCTGGACTTTATTAGCAATGGCATTGAGGGTTTTTTGATAAACATATTAGCTGAAGAAAATAATTGTTTTCTTTAAGAATCTTGAGTGCCAAATATCTAGCAAGACCGGAGAGCGTACCAGAAAAAAAACAATACATTTCTGGCAAAGTGTTTTAACTAGAATTCGACATTTTTAGTAACATTGCTTAAAAACCTGTCGTAAAAGTGGTGAATTTCTTGCTGAATAGTCACAGCTCAAAAATAAAGAGAGTAGAAGGCAGGCAAATTAGACAAATTTTTGATAACCTTGAATGTAGTTTCCGATTTAAAATTTTAAATATAATGTTGGGTATTTTTTTGTTTCAATTTATAAGTTAATTTGACAATGTTTATTGCAATTGGTTTCAAAAACTGTATAATAATTTTGCCCGTTGTTTGTTTATCAAATTCAAAACTCAAATTGAAGATATCAATTTGTTATAATTACCATTTTAAACTAAATTACCACTTAAATATTTTCAGACATACCGTAGGTAAAATGCCAACTGAAGCATTTTACCTACGGTATGTGTCTGAAATCATTTAACTTGATCCACCTTTTCCTTGTCCATTAATTTCACTAGTTGCTTATTTTTAAACATATTTTAGCTCCCTCTTGCGGTAAAATGACGCCAACGATCAAGATAATTTCAACCAATGTGATTGGATGAAATTGCAAAAAAAAATGCGTAGCACCATTTTTTATATAATGGAATCATTTTTTAAGAATGTTGGGTAAAAAAATATAGAAGCTCATTCGCCGTAAATTTTAGCTCAAAAATTACTTATAAACTTGAATTGATTGAATATTATTTCAAGTTAGCGACTCATGTAACTTTGAGTAATACTAAAAAGTGACCAGTTTTTCGTTCTTATGAATAAAATCTTCAACCGAAAAGCAA